ATAGACTGGGATAGTTTCAATTTTCTACTCCCCCTAGATAGGAAGTTGTGAATTTTTCAAACAAAGAGTGCAATTGTGTGAAAACGTCAATTTTTTGGACAACTTTACCAAGTCGGTAAAAATGAGTAGTTGGGCCGATTTCATTGAAATTTTCTTCGGTTTGAGACTCGTCTGTCTTCTATAGACTGGGATAGTTGCAATTTTCTACTCCCCCTTGATAGAGAGTTGTGAATTTTTCAAACAAAGAGTGCAATTGTGTGAAAACGTCAATTTTTCGGACAATTTTTCCAAGTCGGTAAAAATCAGCAGTTGGGCCGATTTGCTTGACATTTTCTTGGGTTTGAGACTCATCTGTCTTCTATAGACTGAGATAGTTTCATTTTTCTACTCCGCCTAGATAGGAAGTTGTGAATTTTTCAAACAAAGAGTGCAATTGTGTGGAAACGTCAATTTTTCGGACAACTTTACCAAGTCGGTAAAAATCAGTAGTTGGGCCGATTTGATTGAAATTTTCTTCGGTTTGAGACTCGTCTGTCTTCTATAGACTGGGATAGTTTCAATTTTCTACTCCCCCTTGATAGAGAGTTGTGAATTTTTCAAACAAAGAGTGCAATTGTGTGAAAACGTCAATTTTTCGGACAATTTTACCAAGTCGGTAAAAATCAGCAGTTGGGCCGATTTGATTGAAATTTTCATGGGTTTGAGACTCATCAGTCTTCTATAGATTGTGGAAGTTTCAAGTTTCTACTGCCCCTGGGTTGAAAGTTGTGATTTTTTCAAACAAAGAGTTCAATTGTGGGAAAACGTCTATTTTTCGGACAACTTTACCACGTCGGTAAAAATCAGTAGTTGGGCCGATTTGATTTAAATTTTCATGGGTTTGAGACTCATCAGTCTTCTATAGATTGTGAAAGTTTCAAGTTTCTACTGCCCCTGGGTTGAAAGTTGTGATTTTTTCAAGCAAAGAGTGCAATTGTGTGAAAACGTCAATTTTTCGGACAACTTTACCAAGTCGGTAAAAATCAGTAGTTGGGCCGATTTGATTGAAATTTTC